AGAAAACGGCGGCTCGGAATGTAGAACGTAGGCCTACGGGCCTATTCGGCTGGCTGTGCCACTGGCCATGAAGGGAATCAAATACAGCTGATTCTTGTTCTTTGAAAAAATTAGTATCTTAATCATGTCGGGCCAAAGACAGTTTTGTCTATACCAAGATGTCATACCCCAACTGATTAACATACTAATTTCTTTACTTTCTTTATCCACCCCTTGAGACTTGCTATATATTTGGCTCACTCTACAATGCGCTTTTTGCACAAGAAACTCGGTTTCTGTTACTTTTTATTCCCCACTTGAACAAGAATCAGCTGTATTTGATTCCCTTTGTGGCCAGCGGAGAGGCCAGCCGATAGGCCCGTAGGCCTACGTTCTACATTCCGAGCCGCCATTTCCTACGGAGAGCGGATAAGTCACCTACACGATAGGTTAGATTCGTTAAAGTTTCTATCCTAAAAAAAAATGAAACTAGAAGTGGATCTTACAACATCGCACACATTTTACAAAAAAGCAAAAGCAAACATCGTGGTATCATGATCCTAATCCTAACCATATCACCCTAACCCTATCCCTAAGCTTATCACCCTAACCCTAACCCATCATGATATCGCGTAGGCCTCACGGACTCTTCACTTTTAGACCCTTATTGCAGAAGTTACAATTGAAGATGTTAGGGCCGAATGTACATTACACCCCGACAACATCTACCAAAGGCCAGAACTGTGGGACTTGATGGCGTGGCAGACTTTCAGATGGTGTTGCAGTACCTGTAGATGCCAAAAATGGAACGTAAAATTTCTTAATTAGACATGATCTTACAGAAAGGTAAATCGGTACAACTAAATGGATATTCAAATAGGCTTCCGCACCTTCGAAAAACTCGAATGATCACCTGGTAGTGAATTAACTGACTTTACAGCCTGTACCATAAGCGTCAGTGGGAGGCTTCAGTACTTTAATAATGAGAATACACGTCATCGACCATAAAGGTGCGCATAAATCATGAGGAACGGCGTAATCTCCCTCAAACAACTGGTATCTGTCTTTTGCCAAAAACGGCAACGAACTAAAGAAAGAGTTGTTTCGCAAACTTTAAGACGTCATCTTAAAAGAGAAAAAACCCATCCGTATGAGGGAATTTCCGTATCTCCAATAATGACTCCTTGTTGTGCGGCTTACGTATTCGAAACGAACGGGAACAAAATGAATTACTCTTGTTAAGTACCTCACACTGAGGATACGCTTTGGCGAAATGGTGATTCGCTTGCATGGGAAGCCTTCGCCCATTTTGCTTAAATACCCCGTCAAAATAATCTTTTTTGCTAACATAACTGGGGTGGAAAAAAAATCCTTGGACGACCATGAAGACTGACGAACGGCTTCACCTCGAGACGTCAGCTTTAGAAAATAGTCTTAGAAACGGTAACCAAGTAGTTACATTATCAACTCAGTTGATAAAATCAAACTTTCTTATTAAACCCCCCCCCCCCACCCCACCCCAGCACCACAGTTTCTTAAAGAACTTGCTCGTTTTATTTGAAAAAGCAAACAATCAAATACATCCCCACACACACACACACACACAAAAACAAATGAACACAAAACTAGACAAAAACCCTTCGGACCGTAAAAATGGGGCAGGCAAGCTCGGTCCAAAGTCTCTTTCTGACAACAAAAATCCAGTAAAATGAAGGAAGATGGTTCGAACTCCTAAAGAGCGACCCGTAACTCAGTTGGAAAAGTGTATACCAACGGAAGAGTTAGATGATACTTAAGACGTTTGTGACGTGCGTTATATTTTGATGAACTAAATGCCAATTATTTAATCGACAAAGCTTCGTAAAGCGTTGAGAAAGAGGACAACTGAGTGTAATATGAAATTAGCGAGGATGTTGCGATTTATTAACTCAAGCCATGTAACGGCTTCGAGCTCCTTGAGAGGACCGGCAATAAGAGGCAACATTGCCCATTGTTGAAATGAAGAATCAAACTGAATCATTCGACGTTTGTTAAGAGATCTTAAAGTATGTTGCGTTTCGATAACCTTAATGGAAATTGTTGTATCGACCACAGATTCGCAAAGCATTGCAAAAAAGAGGACAAATGAGAACAGCATGACATTATCGATGTATAATTATCATCTGACTCAAACCCTGTACGCTTCGAGCTGTTTGAAGACGATTATTAACCTGGAGGCAACATTGCCGACTTGTGAAATATAGAAATAGACTGAATCATTTCGATCAGCTAAATGCAAACCATTTTATTGACCACAGACCCGAAAGACGACAACCGGATTGTAATGTGACATTACTAATGATGTAATGATTCACTAACTCAAACACTGTAAGCTTTGAGCTGTTTGAAGGCAATCTTCTACTCAGAAGCAAAGAGGCACACTATCAAAATGAAGATTAAAAGGATTCTTTAGACAGTTGTAAAGATATCTTGAAAATGTTGAAATTTCGCTGAGCAGATTTTTTTCGTGACCACAGAAGATGCGTTGCGAAAGTGGACAACTAACTGTTATATGACTGTCATGGTCACGCTTCACTAACTCCGCCTGAGTAAACTTCGAGGGCAATTGAGAACAATATGATATTATCGATGTATAATTTTTAACTAACTCAAACTCGGCACGCTTCGAGCTGTTTGAAGACGGTCATCAACCCAAAAGGCAACATCTTGTACTGATAAAACAAAGAATTAAACTGAGTCCTTTGAAGTTTGTTCAGACGTGTTGAAGAAGATGGCTTTTCAGTCAACTTAATGCAACCTATTTTATCGACCACATATTCGAAAGAGGACTATCGAGTATAATGTGACATAAGTTATAATATAACGAGTCACCGACTCAAACGCTGTAAGCTTCAAGCTGTTCGAAGACGATCAGCGACTCGGAAGCAAAGTTTCATACTGATAACATAAACAGTAACAAGGATTCTTTAGACGGTTGTTAAGATATCTTGAAAATGTTGACATTTCGCTGAGCCTAGTACGCATTGTATCAGCGACTACATGCAGACACGAAAGGTATGAAAAGCATTGCGAAAGAGGACAACTGAGTGTTGTATTATTTAGGCGCTAAGAAGTAGATGACATTTTCAAGGATGAACGAAATGCGAATCAACAGAAAGTTGCCAGCTAAACATTAGCAACAACTTGAATTATACTACAACGAGTTCTCGATTTAATAGGTCTCATTTTCCTAGAAGTTTTTAAAAAGCTTACTACTCAAGAAAGGAATACGCTTTCATTTGCACTAATCTAAAATTAAAAACTCAAGAAGGCACGGTGGGCTCGATTAACTACGGATATCCTGTTGCATGACAAAAGGTGCTGTACAAGGCTCGTGTAATACTATGTTGAACTAAACTTCATGGTGTTTGGCTGATCAATATTCTTCGTGGTAGTTTGTGGCTCGCGTAGCCACGAAATTAGCTACTGGTTTGGCCAATCAGCTAGCGGTTTAGGAAAACAATACAGCTGTGGTCACAATAGGAATTCCCGTGAAATAAATCGCGTTCGATCGATAACTCCTCCAAGATCGTACTCCAGTGCGTCGGCTAACGAGCCATGTTCTCTTCTGTCAAATCAATTTCATTAGATCGCTTGCTTGAACGTTGAATGCGTTCTAAGTATTTCAAAACAAGGCTTGATCTGTTGGGAATGAACTTTTACACAACACAGAGACAAACAGCATTTATTTGTCTATTCCCCGCCAAAATTACATTATGGCGCGAAATGAGTAAATTCCGAGTTGAGACATCGTATGCGAGATGGAAGCGAAAACTACATTCGTAACAATGTAATTTCTTCTTAGAATTTGGAAAAGTTGAATTTCTCAGCATGGAAACTGAATGGAGAATGGCAAATTTCGCGATTTAAAAGACGTTCAAGTCCGGTAAGTTACTTTCATTGGATTGTTATAACACATAAGATAATTTTTATTATGATAGCATTTGTATGTGGAATTTGTTAAACAGATTTGATTAATTCTCCTCGTAAATACAGTAGTAATCAGTTGGGTTAAATTCAGTAGCATGATTTGCTTCAACTTAGCATACATTCAGTGCAAAAATCCAAAATTGTAACGCAATCGTTGCCTGTAGCAAAACAGGGCGGAAAAGTAAGATGATCAGTTTCTCGTGCGTCTACAGGTCAAGTCCTTGCTTGCCTTCTAATAAGTGTTACGGTGTCACGATTACTGTAATGTCATTATCACATTCTTGACAGGAAAGCTTGTCAAATCTTGCTTTTAAGAACGTTTACGAGCATAAAAAGGTTGCGATATTTTTTTCTTTTTTATCACGCGGACACGATTATTTGCACGTTCACCGGAAATGAATTCACAGTCTTTACAAAGGATAATGGTCATTTGATAGCTTTCTTAGTATTCGGGCGCTGATAAAGAGCGCGGCAAAACCGTGGTGGCAATTTCTGTCAACGATTTCTGTCAACGATTTCTGTGGAATTGTAAGCAATCGGTTGCGTTTCCATTGCTGTGTTAACCACAGAGTATTCGATATATTTCTAAGGTGAAATACACTGAATGTAACTGATTTTTTTAACCGCAAAATTACAACAGTGACAAAACTTTACAAAAAGCTTCTACGCGTCTAGCGCTAATAAAAATAATACAACCTCGAAGAAGAATAATTTAGTACAGATAGCATCCAATTTATGGTGAAACATTACTGCTCTTAAAGCAGAAATGCCCCATCTATTGTTGTCTGTTTTATTTGTTGTTGACAGAAATAAAACAGGCAAACCTTAATTTAGAAATGACCTGACCTATATTCTTCCATGTCATTGGTTTGTTGAGGAACTAAGTTACTGAAGAGTAAGTTTCACATTACAAACCAAATCTGATTGGTGGACACAGTAACTTATATCCTGAAGAACTAATTAAAAATGTATTTGAGATCTGATTGGTTCATTCAGGAACTAAGATACCCAAAATTTCAAGTACACATTAAAATGGTGAAGTACACATTTAAATGGGGAGGTGTTTCTACTATTTGTTAGGAAAAGTTCTTCTCCATGGAAATGCTGGGATATCTAGAAGGTTAGCTCCTGTTTTTATCACAAATTGACAAATTAACAGTTTAAAACTACTTTTTTTTCTAGACCTACTAGCTAAGAGTTAACACTAAACTATGGTAAAGTGATAATAAACTTGATTATTAACAACTAAATTTTTTTTCAGTGCTGCATTAATGATTGCTTTCATCATGGAAACATATGGATTAAACTATAGGTAAGTTAAACCTCTCTATGAATAAGCACTTGTTTAATAGTAAAGAATAGAAAGTCTTTTCAATGAGCAGTGCTTTGTTTTTACTCCTTACTCTGAGCCTTGGCCAACACCTCTATAATTTGTAGCTGTATCTGGAGAGATGACAGCAAACCTTCAGACAAAAAATTGACATTTTTATTTTTGCAGTTCACATGATTATATAGTGGGATGCCTAGACATGTGATTGAAGGGTTTATAAGACAGTGTATTCATTTCATGTGGGTGAAATATGGACTTATCATGTTTTGTAGTGAGGTCTATATATGGATATGGAGTGTTAAAAGAATAAGAAAGGGGAGGGAAGGGTAGGGAAAGGCAAGAGAACCTATTGTACCCTTTCCACCCCTGGTAATTTTTAGAGAACTTGCCTATTTGAGTTATGTGCTCTATGGAGTTTATTCCTGAAAGGAGTTGTTGAGTGCTAGGTACACTTGCACTGTACACAATTGCATCATTCTCCTTACATGTAAGTCATTTTGTTTGTAATATTTCATTGTCTCTTATAGAGATGCATTTCATTATGTGCAGCAAAGAAGATTCTGTATTAATCCCAATGAAGGTTTTGTTCAACAACTAATGGTAAGTGATGAGTTTGTGAGCTGTGCACACATCACACAAGTCATTTTTATGAGACACAAGGGCAGTCAGTGTTGATACTGCCTTATATTCCTACTCTGCATGCTGTTTATCAGGGACTTAATCTGTAGAAATACTTTGAATACTTACTGTGTGTTGAAATTTATGGCTTGCAGGAATATGAACCAATTTATTTAGCCAATTATCAAGCAAGAAAATCAGGAGAAAGATTAAATCAGTGTAAGGAATATTATGTTTACAAATATTCACTAATTTAATGTGTTATTGCTCGTCTGTTAAACCAATTGTGATCTTTACATTTACTCTATCCCTTTCCACAATTTTCTAGAGAAGGTATGCAAAGCAAACAGGTTGTCTTGATCCAGTTTCACACACAAATTTTAGAAAATTGATGTGTCACATGCGGTTTGAACAGTATGTTATGTGTCACAAATTGAACCCTTTAACTCCCAGATCAAATTTTTAATTTTCCTTACAGTCAACCATACAATTCTTTTAATGTTTGACTTTTCCCAAAAAAGGGCCATAGGGTGAAACCCAAACATGAGACCCTGGTCGAAGATCTCATTAGTAATTCCCCTTACTGTCTGCCAAATAGTTTTTGTGATGTTAGTTTGGAGAATTATGCTCCAATTATCTAGTTGATATTGTGTTGATATTGTAAGTAGAAATTCTGTCCTGGTCAATCATGGGATGTAAAGTGTTAAAAGGGAAATTGCCTTTAATCTCTCTTCTTGTTTGTAAGGATTCAGGGAAATATTGAGGTTTTCACAGAAAGAAAAAAAATTCACTGGTCACATATGTTCAGGAGGTAAATCACCCCTCATGCTGGCTCATAAATTCATGAATCATGCTCACCTTTCGGTAAAATTCAGGCATCAAGAATTAATTTTGGCCCTAATGATTCGTCACCTTCACACCCTTTGGCACCCACTCTATGGTTGATATGACAGTTGAAACAAGGCTGGGAACAAGAAACTTTAACTTGACAAGATGTTCTAAAATTGAGAGAAACTCATTGTATTGCATTGTCCTCTGCACCGGTATTGCAGAGGTCATGGGTTCAAATCCCGTACGGGCCTGAATTTTTTTCAGGTCCTATTTACAACTACTTGTTTCAGTAGTGTTCTTAGCTGCAAGGATCTCTTAATTTCATCATTGTATACATTTTCAAAAACATCAGAACATTAAACTAGTAATTGTTGGTAAAAAATTTAGGAGAAAGAATATTTTTAAGCAAAATCATTGAGTGGGACATGATAATTTTTTCTCATGTAGCTGGTGGGGTGAAACGAGCTCATGAGGATGAACCAAGAGATGACATGATGGACACGTGATAACTGTTGTTCCATGGCAGAGTTTATTTTGCTTAGTACCAGGTAAGAATTAATGAAAGTGGTGTCTTTGACCCCCAAGACTAATATCCTATTTCTCCCTAAAATATCATCCCCAAATCAAACATTTAAGTTGATAGAATATGGGGAATGTCACCAACTAAAGAAGCTCTTGATTGTTAGACAAATTCTCCTTGTCATTACCATTGCAAATGCCAAGAGAACAGTGATGAGAATATGGATACTAGTGTTAAGAAAATTTCAATTCAAGATTACCATGGTATACTTTGTTATTTATTGATCTGTATTGTGGCCTGTCTTAAGCTGTGATAAGCTGGGTCAGTACTTTAAAACTTAACATGAAAAAATATTTTGATTATTGATAGAGGATTTCTTTCTATTCCAGTAAACAGAAGCACAAAGTAACGTGTGTACAAAGACAGCATCTCTGATGTTCATGGGGCAGACAGTCCAGGCAGAAAGCCATAACACAAGATCTGATCTTCAGAAGGACATTGGCCCAAATTGCATCAGTTAGCTATAAAGTTAATATATGGTTACATACATCAAAAATGCAGAGAACTAGTTGGTAAATGTTAGGCAATTTTATCATCATCCATAGCTGCCTTTTCTTTGAACTGTTAAGGACTATGTTTTTTTTCAGTGAAATCATGAATAGGGCATTGTTTTAATTAATGTTAATGAAATTACTAATATTTACCAGACCGAGTGTTGTATTACGGTAACTTTTTAACTCCCAAACTTTATTGTCAATTCTCTTTCTTGCTGGTACACATTTCCTTCAAAAATTTGGTTTTAGATCAAGATAACAACTTCTACCTGATAAGTTTGTGTGTTCTCATTCCCCTGAATAGTGTTTGCTTATTGGTTGCTCTGTTTCCTTTTTTGTGCAGAAAAACGCAAATTTATAAATGAGTATTTTAAAACGATTTATTTTTCAACTGTTAAGTGACTGCGCCTACCTAGGCTGGACTAGGAATCGCAGAGGAAAGCAGTATATTGTGGTTTATCGGATGACGAGGATTGATGTTGATATTTTCATGTTGATTTTTTCGTTAAAAACAAGAGCTACAGGCGATGATTAAAAAATTTGTTAAGTGTTTTTATTTTAAAAGATCGATTTCTAACAAATAAAATCCTAGAAGTGACTCAGCTTACTATCTATTAGATGGCTGTCTGAATCTGTTTTAGCGCTCTATAAGTAAGTGTCACAAGGTCAAAACCAAAGAAATCGCAACAGCCAATCAGATCAAAGGAAATATCACAAGGAACGAATCAGAACTCAGAGCAAGAACAAGCGGCGACCCGAAGCGCGGGAAAATGCGCGTGAGTAAGTCGTGATTGGTTTTAATTTGCGTTTGATTGGTGGAGCGAGTGGCGCGAATTTTCTTGGCCAATTACAGAACGAAGTGATGAACACTGATTGCATGTAAATCCGTTAAAGGAAACGATAATGGAAAAGGAAAAGTCGAGACGTTTCGTACACAAAGCTCATTTACCTACAGGTAACCTGTTGATTCACCGTTTTGTTTTGGGCTTTATCATAAAGATGATACGCTTTTAAATTATCGTGACTTACTAGCTTGTGTAGTTGTTTGCAACGCCTGCGAGACAACTTGGTTCTTAGAGCCTGAAAGCACATCTCTTAGTTATGATCCAAGTCATTACGACTTTCGCACTTGCGTAGACCTCTGGTCGCTGTGTTGGCTTTCCTTGCTGTGTATCACGCGTTTCCTTCATTCTTCCCACCCACCCCCGTTTTCTCACAGATATAGAACAGAGGCTGAAGAAATTTTCATCTATTTTTCTCTGAAATAGTGATCTAATCCTCTAAATTACAAAATACACTTATGCTAGCTCCGCACATCGTTTAGGAGACTGAAAAATTATCTTGTTACTTAAACCTTTCTGCTCACAATTTATCAATTGACGAAAAAGTAATAAATTCGTGGCGCTCAATGTCAGCTCATACAGCACTGTTTCTGTTCACCTCAGTCCTTTTTTCCCTTCTCAATGCTGATAAATCTCTCCTTAGGGGGAGGCAATGCTTGCCTTTCGGCTTCGACCAGAAGTTTTCCTTCATCAGTGAGACGCGACACGACAGAATTCATGTCGACGTCTTTGGGCAAAACGAATTGACGATTAAACTTCTGGGAAGTGTAATGCCCCTCTGTTTCGGATTCGTGTGATGCGCTAACGGTCAATTCATTGCCAACAACTTTCACTTTGATCTCCTCGGGCGCGAAGTTTGTCACATCTAACAACACACTGAATTTCTTCTCATCGATTCGAGCTACCTCTCCCGCGCGCGTTTCAAACCCTCCGAGCGGAAAATCGTCTTCTGTCTTGACAATTTTTCTAGTGGCTTCAATAGTCAGATAACCATCCTTGGATATTTTTGATGTAATGCTAGCGGGATCTGCATCTTGCGGGACAGGATAAGTTCGCTGGAACTCACTGCGTTCAAAACCAAAGTTCCCGTCGGAGTAATGTTTAGCCTTCACGACTAAGATGTCCCCCTCAACTCGTAGACTGACCTCGTCAGGGCTGTAATTTCGCACATCTAGAGTAACTATGTGAATTCTTTCATCGGAACCTGAGCGCTGACGCTGCATTTTGATGCCGGGAAGGGTTTCTGAGATCTGTGACTGCAATACTGCGATTTTTAAGTGTTCGTGTATGAATACGGCAATATAATATTACACAAAGTTCGCATGGGGTAGAAAATAAATGATGTTTTAGTCTGCGGGGATGTTTAAATCAAATTAAAAATATTGGATTCAACTGTCTGTATTGATATAATTTCTAAACACATTAGCTAATTGAATTTGCTCAAGGAGAAAATATCGTTCATGAACCAAGCAATCTCTTACGATTTAGTAAAAGCACGAAACTTGCTAAATTAAGACCAGGAAAGAAAGTAATTGCCCTGAAGCACAACTCTAAATTAAGGTTTAACCTACTTCCTATAGTTCAAATTTATAATAGCCAAATGAGTTTCTATGATGAGGTTCTATGATAAGGTTCTATGATATTCCATTTTCGTGTTGTGATATTGGCTCTGTAATCAGAGTTTTGCATCTCCGTTCACAATAGCGAAACATAAAGAGGAAGTCAAATTTTTCACCCTGCAAAGAGACACATAGCTTTTGACTTCGATCCAAAGCTATGACAAGATAGTTTGGTTTTAAGATTTTAGATATATGAAAATTCACATATTTGCACTGCGGTGGAAAGATGAAATTAGAAGATCCTCGCAGCTAAGAACACTACTGAAACTAGTAGTTGTAAGTAGGACCTGAAAAAAAATTTCAGGCCCGTACGGGATTTGAACCCATGACCTCTGCGATACCGGTGCAGCGCTCTACCAATTGAGCTAACAAGCCAACTGGGAGCTGGTCAATGAATTGGGTACAAATAAACATCCGAATGAATGAAGATTTTAGTTTTGGTTTTATCAACTGAGTTGGTAACGTAAATTGGCTACCGTAAAGAGTTTCAAAACTGACGTTTCGAGCGTCAGCCCTTCGTCAGAGCAAATGGGTCTCTTTCGTTCTTAAGGTTTTTGTGGTAGAGAAAATTTTCGACTGGTTAGTTTTAAAAGGTTTCTTTTTCTATATTGAACATAACTCATTCAAGTGATCTTTTGTCTGGATATACTCCGAGTAGTGGCGTTTTAATCTGCAATAGAAATCGAGTACGATAAATCAATGTCGAGCTCACTTTCCCAGGAACAAATATTGATCCGATATACTATTTAGAACAGAGCCGATTGAAGAAGTAACTTCATAAACTGAAGCGACATCGGAATACTCTCCACCCCATCATCTCGAGATGTGTTCGGAGAGGAACAGAGGTGCACACCAATGACTGGGCTGCGTATCGGCAGATCGATCGCCATATCCATACCGTAAGCATCCACCAAGCTGTTGTTCACCGGCTCCACCTCGTGGATCCAGTCACTGGAGTACATACCCAGGAAGCAGAGTCCTGCTGGAACAAATTGAAACAAAGGCATTTTATGACTGGGCTACCACAGGTATCCCAGTAATTAGGCCAGAAAATGCGCCAAGGAAGAGGGAGGGAGGACATGTAGTCCTACGTGGACGAGAAGATGTGGCGTCAGTGCAGAGTAGAGAACCCTCAGAATGCCATGGATAAATTTTTAGAAGTTTGAGCCAGATAATATGTTGTTAATAAACTGATAATATATAGATTTAGCCAAGCCTAAAAGCGGAGCTTGCATCTTTTTTTCCCGCACGTCTCAAGGGCACAACGCCTTGCCCCGGCCAGGACTAGAACCCGTGTCGTCCGACTCGAAGCCCAATGCACTGACCACTGGACTACTGGGCAAAGCCGTGGCGTTGGCGTGCCCGCGGTACATTTGATCACGCATGTTAAAAGTAGCACCTTGTACGGTCGTACGGTCGTACAACCAGATTTTTTCGGCTTGATGGGTTACTACTATTTTGTATAATTATGGGGCTACGCTCTGCGAGCTCCGCTATTATAGATGTCATAGATGTTATAGATTACAGAGAAATGTATGTTAGTGATCGACTTGTTTCAATTATCAGGTTTTTACATCAACCAAAGTCTCAGCCGTTTTTAAAAGTGTGCGATTTTCGGTGGTCTTTAACGTCTTTAATTTTCTTTGTTTTGTGTTTTTTAATTTAATTGAGTATAGTTAACAACAAGTAACATTGAGGCCGCCTCCACGAATAAGCAAAACAGACTTAAAGATTCTACATTATTCAAATTCCAAATGTTAGGTTTATCGCCCTCACTAATCTAGATAACTGGATACAGACGTGGAGAAGACCTAGTCAATTAATCATGGGTCTTTGTGTATATTTAACGAATAGATTCCAAGTTGCCGTGCTTCTGTTCAGTAATAGATCACGGATGACGTCAAAATGTGGTAAGAGCCGGTTGTGGTTTGAGCCCAGGATTCTAGCCGAGCTTGATTACCAAGAAATCGATCGAGCTCAATATTCTGTGTTGGGTTGTGATTCGAGCTCGGGAAGGATTCGGAGCTCGGGTGACCTATATCGAATTCGGTTTCCCAGAAATTGATATTGATCCACATAACCTGTATGCTTGATAGAAAAAAGGCAGAAGCAGTTAAAAACGTACAGGAAAAATTGGTCTCGGACGCTTTGAAGTCTTATATCATTGCTCTCTTGTTCCACGACGTTTCAACTGTGTTTCAATCGTCATGCCTTGTATCTTAGTTCGCAACTCCATGAACATGGAAGAATTCTCATGCAGTGTGGCCAAGCACGCATTCTCTGGGACAGAAACCTACATTGATTCTAGCTGCGGTAAAGGGACTTCTGTCGCGAAAGCGATAGAGTCTGCGCTGTATCCACTATCAACTGTAGATACGTCAGATAGGTTGACGGCTACATGGTTCACCAATCGTCCACCTTTGGTAGTTCTGGACAAACTACAAGACTTGGGCTTCTCAGTTGTTGCCGCAAATACTGTTGGAGTGACTACTGTGTGGACCCTGCAAGGTAACCTGAACGTCCGCAGCATGGGTCGTCCTATACGGAATGATCATCGCTTTCGTCATGATCGCACTATACCAGACAAAGGGCAGGAGTACTTTTAAAAACTGTTTCCAACGAAATTTTGAACGCTTTCTCGTTCGGAATTTTAATAGGACATTGAGCAACCTACTCCTTATATATATCTGTCTATGATTGTTATTTATTTTAATGCTTTGTCATTTTCTATGCTGTGGCATTTTATTTGTAACGTTGTTAAGGGAGATCTTTTTTTCCTGTTGACGCAATGAAATTATAGACGACTGGTAATTTTCCAAATTAGTCCATGTTGTAAAAATTGCATGAAATCATGTTTCTGTTACCGATCTGAACTCGCGCGTAACGTTCATTGTTTGCATAACTGTCGAACCGTTCGTTTTAAAATAATATATTTAAATATACATGATAAAACGCTACTACTCAAAGTTTTAGATCGTTTACCGCAGATCCCCGGTACCTGAAATTAGTGACAGATCTTTGTCCTCCCGTTTGCCAAGCAAGTGCTCTGAGCTATTTTCATAAGTCTCCCATAACGTTTCTTAATTGTTTCGCTCAGTCAAGCTGAGTCACAGTACCGGGTCTACAAAATTGCCCTTTCGTGTGGGTATAGCAAACCTATCGTCTATGGATTTTATCTCTGTAGAAAGGCTACATTTTATCCCTACAGATAGTCATCTTTGAACTGAAGAGTTCGAAACCTAAAGCATTCGGTCTCGAAAAAAAAAAATTCCAAATTAACGAGTGTAAAATTATAAGTTATGAAATGTATTTATTTTTCTCAGCCGTTGTGCACGTCAATCTTTTGTCAATACCGCATGATTTAAAAAAGACAGCTTCATGACTGATTAAATGAGTTTGGGTCGGAGTTTTTCTTAGCCTCCCAAGGACATATTAGGCCCGATTGCCGCCGCTCTCGTGTCCGGTCTTCGCTCCTCCGGTGGGTTCGGGGGAAGGAGCGCGGGCTCATCTTCCCGAACAACCGCTGGTAATCGAGCCTAATAGACATATATGCCGCAAAGGAAGGCGAGTTCTTTCTCTTACACCTGCATGTTAGCCTTTACATAAACCTAATTGTAAAAAGCAAAACTGAAAAAGGAAAATGGTAAAAAAAGGCTATTAGCATATAAAAACTTCCCTCTGGCTAAACGACCGCCGGCTGAACAATTCTCACAGAATTTCGAATCAAAACTTCTTTCTGTTTAGAAATTCCGGTGATTCCAAAAATATACATATGCACTTAATTCGAATTTGGCCTTTTTTGGGTGTGCTCTTTTTCTAAGACAACGTTATTACAATTAAGTGTATGTAAGTAACGAAATAAAGCGATCAGGTTGGCTGGAAAGTCGTTATCGTGAATTTGTCACGATCCTGATGAATTATACATGTTGCCTCATTACTCATGCATGCACAATTCTTAGAAAAACAGGATTCTCGGGACATGCATGGCAAACTCGTATTCTTAGGTGGATATCTTTGCAGCAGTTTACGGGTTTTTCATTCGCCATGGGATTCTTTGTGGGTCGGCGGAGCTTGTCAGCGAAAGAAACTCTAACAATATCACGTATAAGACCTTAGACGCCCCTTACTATGTACTCAGTTGGTTGAAAAGACTTGGTTATCGAGTGGTTGGAGTATATTCTGTTGGAGAGACCTGTGTTTGGACTGGTGTTTGAAATGATTTATTAAATAATTCCATCAAAGGATTTCGTTAAATAATTTCCACGATATGGAAAGTAGTATAGAGAGTTGGCGTTTTTGTACGGGATCACTTAGTTATCTTGTACCGCCAATTCCAAAAAACATACAACAAGTGATTCTCAAACAAGCATTGAGAAGGACGCGTACAGGGTTTTGACGGAATAGATGCAAATCAAATTAACTGCCCTTATGAATTATGTAACACAACGTTTAATTAACCTGTATGCTTGATTGAAATTCCGAGGAAAAGTGGACGTGGTTAAAAACGTACAGCACAAATTGGTCTCGGACGCTTTGAAGTCTTATCTAATTGCCTTCTTGTTCTACGACGCCTCAACTGAGTTTCAATCGTCATGCCTTGTATCTTAGTTCGCAACTCCATGAACACG